TCTTTACTCTTGTTGGCTGGCTCTTTGTCGACGTCATCCAGGACCTCCATGTCCACTGTTCCTGCCTCTCGCACGTTGCAGATGGATTTCGTTGCTGCCATGGAGTAATTTTTTGCCTGCACCTGACCCTTTCTGACCTCTTCAATTCCATGCTCCATTGGGAACCACAACAACTAATGTAATATTGAGGGAACAACCCTTATTGCGTGCAACCACGGTCTTCCCAAGATAACATTGTAAAGGGAGGGGATGTCAATTACTGTAAACTCTATGCTTACCTTCTTGGTGCCTGTCTGCCTGCACCTCCAAATTTATTGCTCCTAAAGGCCATGTCGGAGTTCCATTGAACCCGACCATTGGGCTGTTCAACTGCTCCAAATCATTTGAGTGAAAGCCAAGCTCCTTGTAACATCTGACATACATGATGTCACAAGAGCTGCCTTGGTCAATCAAAATGCGCCTTACCTGGCATTCTCTAATCTTGAGGATCACTACTAAAGCATCGTTGTATGGATGCTACACCATGTCTAGGTCCGCCTCAGTAAATGACACCATTGGTCCCTAATACTCATTTGTCCTTGGCCTCTTTTGCTGAACTTGATACACATGCTGTAAGTGCCTCACCTTTTGGGTCTTTCCTCACATATCATTCTCATTAACCTTCAAATGAATCACATTGATCACCCGAGGTGCTACTTGCTGTGGTTGTGGCAGGGGTGGTACCGCTGGTACCTAGTGAAGCTTTGCATGCTCTTCCTTCGTTCTGGCCTCATCTACTAGGTCCCTCAAGTGACCCTGTCTGACCAGGTCTTCTAAGTGTGACTTTAGGGCTCTTCACCCCTAAGTCAAGTGCTCATCCTCATTATGGTAAGTGCAGTGCTTCCCAAGGCTCCATCCCATGAACTCACCAGGAATCTTCTCTGGCGCTCTATAACACGGCTGGTTCCTGATCCTTTCTAGAACTTTATAAATCAGGATCCGAAACACAGTGGTGACTGCTTGTGCAACCCTCAACCCTGTTTCCTATCTGTTAAAACCAGTATCACCTCGATCTCGCTTTGGCTAGCCATTTCTGTTCTCCTGCTTCGGCACCTTCGTTCCCAGTGTATCCTTTTCTACTTTGGCATATTTCTCAATCTGTGCCATGAGCTCCTCCATACTCTTTGGTAGAGTTTTTGCCAGCGACTTCCTAAGTGGGCATTCATCCTCCAGGCCGTTCTTAAAAGACACGATCACCAATTCTTGGTCACATCCCGGTATTCAGTTGAACACCTTATAATACCTTTTGGCATAAGCCCTGAGGCTTTCAGCCTCACTAATTTTCAGAGCCATCAGGGAGTCTACCCTTAGTGGCTGCAACTTGTTTGTAACAAATCTAGCCACAAACATTTTGGCCAGGCTATCCCAACTTTTCACAGTTCCTTTTGGCAACTTGTGAAACCAATCCGATGCGATTTTCCCAAAGAATGAGGGGAACACCTTATACAGCAACTGTTTGTTCTCGGTATACAGAGCAATTGAATTTAGATATAAGCCGACGTGAAAGTTTGGATCGGACTTACCGTCATAAATCTGGAACCTCAGCATATGGAACCTTTTAAGGGCCTCAGACTTATCCAACTCCACTGAGAATGACGTTCTCGGCTTGACGAGAGATATGACCTTAGCATTCTGCCGCTTGCTCTGGAGGTAGTCCCCCAAATCCTCCTTAGTCAGACCAGGAGCTCGGCTGTCAACAGATTTCAGTCTTTTTGTTTCGCTACTCCCGGTGTCGTTATGTGTCATTTTGGACATCTCTTCATTCATCATATCAAAACACAGGCCCTTCCCCCGGATATGTTGGGTTCTTTGACATAAGTTTCCCTGGTATGAGGCGTCCTCTACGAGTCGCCTCTGATCGACTCTCCTCGCCCGACATCTCGTGAAGGCCGATGTGAGGGCTCCTTTTCCTTGCCATGCTACAAGACTGCTAGTATTGTTTTTTGCCCCCCCTTTCTAGGCATCAGTCTTGGCCCCTGGCATCGACATATCCTGCAATGGAAATGGTGGTTACATGACGTTATTCTGCATCATGAAGTTGACAACCGATTGTAGATCTGCCAACTTGTTGGACATTCCCTTCATTTCGCCGTCCCTTCTCAGGCATCTATCCTTCCATACCTAGAGGTCGCTTTTGTTGTAATACTCATCTCGGCTTGATTTCTTCGGGGTGTCTCTCTCTTTGCCGACGTCCTTATCCCCGGGATTCTGATCTCGTGCTCCTTCATTATGGTTTTCTTCCTCAATGTTAGAATCGGCATGCTTACCACTCCCGTCTGGGACATCGTCCACGATCATTTCTCCCTACCCGTTGTTGGCCATCTATTCTTCTTAAGTTCCCACAGACGGCACGAAATTGTAGGTGTTGATTTTTGACCACACAACCAAACGGAAAACTCAACTGAAGAGCACCGGCAGAATAGATTAAGCCTGAACAACTTGTCAGAGAAAGATAAGAATCTGGTGGTGGTTTGTCCACCCGGGAGCACTCCGACGATCAAGTCAGTAATCAATATCTCTTAAAAATAGCAAATTGTGCTTAAACTCACAAGAAATAACTTACTGCTCACAGTATATCACACCTTCCTAAGACCCACGGGGGTGCCCTGCTTTTATAGCTAGTATTGATCTGATCCCTGTAGAAACCTCACTTCAGTAGACTCAGGCTCAATGCTTATCTTGGGCTCTCAGCTAAATAGGGATAAACTCCCTAAGAACTTTATCTTTATCCAGACTGAGATCCTCCCCTATTCTAGGACTCTTATCCCTTATCCGCTCATCTCAGATTCCGGTATCTCCGCAGATAACCTCAGCCTAGCCAAGATCATCTCAGCGCATGACCAACCCACGTAACACCTCAACTGACACTTTGCCGTCACATTATTCACGTACTGTCATTCATAAAATGTGTCCCCATAATTTTGGATTGGGGAAGATTCATTGACTATTTATATGATGACTTTCTCTTCTATGATCAACTTCATAGTTCTTTAGAGATTCTTGAAGGCTTTTTAGAGTCCGTTTGGGAAGAACTAAAGTGAGCTTTTTTGGTTATTTTAGCCACAAAAGATAAAATAGGCTATTTTAGCCACAAAAAACAAAACATCACATCCAACCCATAATCATTATACTCTTCTCTCACAAAAAAAGTCAAAAAAAATCAAAAAGTCAAAAAGTCCTTTCCAAACCAAGCTTTTTAGCCCAGGCTAAAATAGCCAAAAAAATTAAAAAGCCAAAAAGCCAACCCACTTATCAAACGGAGGCTTAGTCATGTGATGACGTTTAGTCGTTGGTTGTTCTGTTAGGGATATTTTTTGGTAGGCTTTCTATTTTATTTTGTTTTATTTGGTGGAAGTTCATGATTTTCTTGGAAACGTCTGTTGGGTCTTTATTATCAATTGGTTGAAACATGGTTCGGTGAGATTTGTTTGAAATTTGTTTGCTTGGGTTGTTAGAAAATTTAGTTAATTGTGAGAATTAGTTTTATCACTATTGTTTCTTTACGGAACATTGTTCTCTTTATATTGGTAGAATTCTTCTTTTGTGTAATTGCCCATAGAATCTTTTGTGTTTTATATGAGTTTTGTAAGAGCCCTTTGCATAACAAAAACAAACCAGGTAAAAACAAATGGGATTGAGTTAAAATAATAAGGCCACAGTGAGAGTTTTCCAAACCCGAGAAGAAAATGAAATAAAGAGAGTGAGGAAAAAATGAATCACACCAAAATTACATCCGATCCGTATTAAAATTATCAGACTAGAGTGAACTGAATAAATCGATTTGTCAATTAATGAGTTTAATTCGTGTTCATATTAATTCTTTTAAATACAATCTATTAGCAAATTAAATTAAATTAGATTTGATTTAACTAATTAAACACGATGCAATATGATAGGACAAACTCTCTATTTGTCCTATCTCATTATTAAATAAAATTATTCAATTGCCTAAAAACAATGTGGTTAAAAATTCCAAAATTGAAAATTAAATTCACAAGTATAAAATTATTGGGTAAATTATAAATACATACCTTAACGTTTGATTAAAATACAAATTATCCTTGTAGCTTTGAAAATTACATTCTACCCTTCTGAGATTTCTAATTTCATAACAAATCATTTTTTTATCAATAAATCTTCAAATTAATTAACAATTTCTAATGATATTAGAAATATGTTTCAATTAAAAATTTAAGTAATTTTATTATTGTATAGGAGAGTAATTATAAATTTTACTTTTTAATTAGTTGTGTTAAATAAATTTTTTTAATAAGAAAATATTTATAATTTTTTAAACTATAAAAAATAATTTATACTTTAAACAAAATTCAAGAATGTATCTGTAATTTACAAAAAATTATTCACGTGCAAACCAATCAAACAGTAGTGTGTGTATATATATATTTTAATAGTGGATTTTGATTTTCCTAGAAAACAAGCAATGAAAAACAAAACCACCCCACATAAAACCTATACTCCCGCCGTCCTAAAATGTTAATTTTTTATTATTTCAAAATATTAATCACTTTTTAAAAATTAAAAAAATATTAATTTATTATTTTATTTTTTTTAAATTTATTAATAATATAAAATGTATAATTATTATAATTAATATTTTTTAAAAAATATACTACCAAATAATTTTGAATAATTAATAATAATTATATTATTAAAAAAAGTTAAATTCTCAATAAATAAAAAAAAAGAGTTATTATTTTAAAACGGAGGGAGTATATTTTTTGACTTTTAAAAAAAGATTTATCCAAAAAATCTCATGTCACGTTATAAAAAAGATAATATTAAAAATATTAAATTTTTTATCAAATAAATAATTAAATATTCCATGTAAATGTAGATTTCACAATTTTGGGACCCACACTAACATTGTAGCACAAACCATGTGAACCTCCACCAAAGAATCTCTCTCTCTCTCTCTATATATATATATATATGTATACAAGCTAGCTCACGGATTCTTCAGCACCTTCGGTTCACTACTGTCTTTATCTTCACCTTTCGTGCATCGAAATTCGAGATGGGTTATTGGTACAACCAAGCTCTGTTAACTTTGTTTCTCGTAGCTCTGTTTTTGGTGTCTCTGTTTATTCAAGAGGCAAAAACAGAGCAAGTTTACAATGTGAGCAGATTGAGAAGTAGAAAGGTTTTGAGTGGTTGTAATTTGTTTCTAGGAAAATGGGTTGTTGATTCTTCATACCCACTCTATGAATCTTCAAGTTGTCCCTTCATTGATCCTGAGTTTGATTGTCAAAAGTATGGCCGCCCTGATACTCAGTACCTCAGATATTCTTGGAAGCCTGATTCTTGTGATGTACCCAGGTTGGTTCTCTCTCTCTCTCTCTCTCTCTCTCTCTCTCTCTCATGCTCATATATATATGAGAAATAATCAAAATAGAGTTTTTAGGTAGGTATTTGATTCGAAGTGTCAAATGAATAAAATGAATCTGTGTAGGATTCAATTAAGGCTTGCACTGCATATTTCATTCAAAATGGCTTGCTAGTTTTGGTTAGCACTTCAAAGTTAAAAGGGACGTAAGAAAAATTGACGGAACCAAATTGATTGAAACTGACCGAAAGTCAATTTTTGATTGATTTATTATATGGTTTGTTTCAGTTTTAAATTTTTTTATATTAATACAACCGAATAGACTGTTATAATACAGTATATGACAAAAATTATGGAGAGAAGTTCTAAATTTTTTTATAAAACCATTTAAAATTTCAATCAATTTCTCTTCTACATCATATTAACAAAATCGATAAAAACAAATGGTAGCATATGAATTCCTTAACCAACAAAACCAAAAGGATTGGTTTGGTGCTGAAGTTACTCTCAATATCAATCGAACCGAACCATTTACCCTTCTTAAAATGGACATAACACAAAGCTAGGGATTTAAAAGTGGCCCAGCCTAAACGACCTTAGGCCTGTTCGGGCTCCAACAAAAAATCAGATCAGGTCAACCTAGTTCTCAAAAATCTAGACCCATGCTCAAGCGCAGGCCTAGGGATAGTTGGGCTTCGAGCCTGGGACAAGCTTGACTTTTAATTTTTTTTTTTAACTAAAATAGTTTGTAGATGACGTTGAGTGTTGATTGGGCCTCGATCGGGCTCATTGGATTGGGCTAGGCCAGGCCAGAAAAAGCATGGCCAAGCCCTAGATGACTCAAAAAAAAAAAAAAAAAAGAAAGGCTCAATTTTATTGCTGCAGCATTCAACTTGTTAAGGGGGGCAAGGATTCTCTTGTCAAGAAATTTGTATGTTTTCGTGTGTTCAATTATTTGCAATTGTCTATTCATTCAAAAAAAAAAATTTATTTGCAATTGTTGGATGATAGGAGAATTTTAAAATGTAAAACTATTAAAATATGATCAAATGATTGAGTGTTTTAAATAAAAGAAGACATTTTTGAGAATTTCATGCTACTTGTATGCCTATCCAGTAGGGGGGACAAAATAATTACAAAATCCGAAAAATAAGTGTTATTTAATAGAGAGACATATTGTGCACCAAACTTACTAGATAATTTTTTTCCTATTAAAGGACTTTTTGGGGCCCCATTACTTTTGAAAATTTTCATTTTGTTGTGTTGTTTTAGAACTTATTTTATCAATATTAACTTACTAAAGTTTTGAAATTGAGAATTATTTGTCTTTTATCTATAGTTTGAAAAAAAAAATTTTGATTTGACCCTCGTAGACAAAAGTTTTAACTCCGCCTAATGTAAGACTATTGATCTTGAATCGAGTTTATATTTTATCTGAACTATGTAGGACTCTATCAATCTTGAATCGAGCTCATATTTTATCGGAATAAATGCAGTATTATAACTATTATATTTTAATGAAACGTTTTACTATTTTTTGTGAAAAAAATTCTTTTGCATTTTTTAAATATTGTGGACAGATTGTGTGCCCCAACTCTATGTTACATGTAATTACAAATAGATAAGCTAAATTAAATATTTGTGAGTATATATATGTTGGTGTAGGTTTGATGGAGTGGATTTTTTGAGGAGGTGGGGAGGGAAGAAGATAATGTTTGTGGGTGACTCACTGAGTCTGAACCAGTGGGAATCGTTGTCCTGTTTGATTCACGCGTCGGTGCCAAATGCCAAAACCGCCTTCGCCAGGAAGGACTTGTTGTCTTCTGTCATCTTTGAGGTCAGTTTTAGCTTTTAGCTTTTCCTTTTTTAATAAGTGTTTTCTTGCCTGTATGTTTCTTTTTTAGAATTCTCTGTTATGCATGTTTTCTTTCCACCACTATTTTCTTCTTTTCTTGAAACCAGTTCAGTATTTTTTATTTTTTATTTTTTGGCTTTGTTTTAAATTACAACTTGAACTTTCTTGGTTGTGACATGACCACAATAAACTAACGAGGAAATATTATTTTTTCTCTTAAATTATCACTGAAAAATTAATTTAACTCTTATTTTTTTAATAATATAAATTTTATATTTAAATTATTTAATTTTGAATCAATTTTATCTTCACCGTTAATTGCCATCTATAACTAAATAGAAGTTGTTAATATGGACTTAAATTTTATTTGAAATTTCATTTTACCTTCCAAACTATTCCAAAATGTCAATTAGACTCTTGAATAAATTAAGTTTGGAGTTCTAATTGATATAGTTTGGGATAAAATACAATTTTAAATGAAAGTTTAGTACCACGTCAACAAATTCCATTTGATTATAGATGGCAGCTAACGGCGGAAAGAAATTGATCCAAAATTAAATAATTTAAGTATAAAATTGATATAATTGAAAGAACATGAGTTAGTTTTTTGAGTGATAATTTGAGAGGCAAAATGCAATTTATTTTAAACTAAAATTACTAATGTTATAGTAATAACTATATTTATGTATTAAAGTTATTTATCAATTAATTATCATTATTATGTTTATATAATGAATAATTTAGGAGTGTAAAAATAACCAGCGGCCCGTGCGTAGCACAAAGTCCGTCTGCAACCCGGGGTGGGCCCGACCCGTTTAGACCCGTTTGTTCCCAAGCCCGAGCCCAAGCCCATCCTGAGCTCCTGGGCCTGGACTATCATTTTGAAGCCCGGATCATGGCCCAACCCATCGGCTTGTTGAAGGCCCACTTAAGGCCCAGCTCGAGGCCCAATGTCTTTTTTAGTGAAAAATAATAAAATTTTGATAAAAATTTTTTATAAAAAAAAAAAAAAAGGTTACGCCCGTCCAAGGTCCAAATATCCCTGGGCTTAGGTTAGGGTCTGTGTCTAATTTTTTTGGCCCGTGGGCCGATACTGTCCGGCTCGAATTTCCGTAGGAACCCACGAGGCCCGACTTGGGCCGGATTTATACCCTTAAATGAATTCAACTAAACATGTCAGTTACTAATGCTATGGTAATGTATCATCATGAGCTTGTCTAATAGTACTTGGTAAATTATGTAAATGATTTCTGCAGTTTATACGATGTGTCAATTTAATCTTTATTATTTTAGTTTGCTCGATTTTGGCTCTTAATTTAACGGATTGTCTCATATTGATCCAATAAATAACAGTCGTTGGATTTGGTGGACGGAAACTCAAACGATGTGTCAATTTGGTCTTTGTAGTTTACATAGTGTGTCAATTTGATCCTTATTTATTTAATTTGCTCGATTTTGATAGAGACCAAACTGACACGTCGTGTAAACTACAAAGATCAAATTGATACATTATTTGAGTTTCCGTCCACCAAACCTAACGGCCGTTATTTATTGGATTAATATAAACACAATTCGTTAAATTAAGGATCAAAATCTAATAAATTAAAATAATATGTACCAAATTAACACATCGTGTAAACTGTAAGGATTATTTGCATAAATTATCCGTAGTACTTTAGAGGCAACTATCTTTTTTTCCTCTTGTTTTGGTAAAAATTTTGAAGAATAGAAGACAAACAACCGTGTCAAATTAATGGGAGGTGTTACTTCTACACATAAAAAATGTTGAGTTAATACACACATAGTGCATTTTATCCTTACTAAAATCACTTTTTCTAGACAAAATTCTAAAATGGTATTCAGTTTTACAAACCGTTAGTAGATACCCACCACTGTGAACCACCTCTGCAACGACTCCCTTCACCATGAAAACCCCGTCACGAACTCTCATGCAAACACTATCCCTCACGGGCAAACCCCCTCCTACTCTCCACCATCAACTCCTCTCTCTCTTTATCTGTAACCTTAATTCTAATCGCCATTACCAAGTCATAACAGGGAAGGAACTAGGGCTCCTAGGGTAGTTGGGAAAAGAAAGGTGAAAGGGGTAATGGCAGCAAGATAAAGGGTTGGGCTGGGTTCAAAAAGAGGGCAGTGGATGTTAGCGATCAAGGATAGTTTAAGGTCAAGAAATTACGATCAGGATTTATAATTTTCAATCACAAAAATCGTAATTTTCATAAGTATAACTTTTCGTACAAAATATACAAGTGCACATTGTAATCCCTCCCAATTAAACAAGCCCGTGAATCATTGGCAAGCTTTAATGTTAATAGACAACATAAGAGATTACACTACACACTTTGTTCTTGACTTCGATAAGAATATTGATTGATAGCATATGCTTTTTTAATTAGCGATAAGACGAACAATTCCTTTATGTGCAGGACTATGGAGTAACATTGTTCCTATATCATACCACATTTTTGGTAGATATTGTTCGACAAGATGTTGGTCGTGTTCTCAAACTCGACTCTATTCAAGCTGGCAGTGCATGGTTAGGAATGGACGTCCTGATTTTCAACACGTGGCATTGGTGGACCCACACTGGAAATTCTCAACCGTACGCATCTCATCTCTATTCTTATTGTCATACCCTCGTCTTTTGAAACAAATCACACTTAAAAATAAATTTACTTTTCATATTTCAAATCAATTTCTTCACACATTGCCAAACCATTGCTCTTTCAAAGATTCTTAAGTTTATTTGCCACTCTCACAAATATGGAATTTTCACTATATTTGTTTGTCATCTTTTGTGTGTAATTTTTTGTTGATGATTGCAGATGGGACTATATCCAAGATGGGTCCACAATATCAAAAGATATGGACCGTCTGACGGCATTTGGGAAAGGGTTGACAACTTGGGCCACATGGGTGGACCAAAACATTGATCCTTCCAAAACCAAAGTCTTCTTCCAGGGGATTTCTCCCACCCATTATCAGTAAGTTATTTTTCAGCTTATTTAAATTTGGTTCGGTCAAGTTAAGAACTCGTCTAGGTCTAGTCCGAATTGTGTTGAGAATTGCTCAATCTTCACTGTCAACCCGAACTTGTTTTGAATTGAAATGGATCATGCATTAAGAAATTAACAAACAATATGCATATTCTCAATGAAAAACAGGGGAAAAGAATGGAGTTCGGGATCAAAGAACTGCTACGGAGAGCAACAACCCCTAACCGGGTCGACGTACCCGTCAGGCTTACCTCCAGCTACCAGTGTAGTGAACAAAGTGTTGAGTTCAATGACGAAACCGGTGTATCTGCTAGACATCACAAGACTCTCACAGCTGAGAAAAGATGCTCACCCGTCGGCTTACAGCGGTGGCCACTCTGGCACTGACTGCAGCCACTGGTGCCTCGCCGGTGTGCCTGATACTTGGAACCAGCTCTTCTACGCTGCTCTTATTATGTGAAATTTTTTGAAGGCTTGAAAAAAGCAGTTAGTGTCATTTCTTCACTTCAGATGGTGTACACAATAAAGTGGGAAAGAATCAATTGTAAAGTACTCATTATTTTTTTTTTGTTTTTTTTGTTTATGGATAAAAATGATGCGATTGGAAAAATGTGTATGGATATATGTATAGAAACGCAAATGCAAAATCATTTGCTATTTGGGAATTCTGTATGAGAGGGGTTAGTCAAGATTGCAATTTGTAAGTCATTTTGAGAACTTTTATTTCTAAAGCCCATTTGAATATTTTTGTCTACTAGATTCAGCTAGGCCCAAATTTTGGTTTTCAAGAACTAAAACACACTTGGTATTGCTTGGCATTGTTATCAATTTCGTTTTAGTTTTCTGTTCTCAAAAACAACACAAGCAAAAATTAATATAAAAAACTTGTTTCCCAAACTGTTTTCAAGAAAGTTTTCTATAATTTCCGTACTATTTTCATACACAAATGAATGGGTTTTTTGTCAGCAACAACATGCTTTTAAAAAGACTTCTTGCCTAATAGAAATCTTCAATTACAAGCCTTTCTTACCAACACCAAAGCTTGTAAACCACTGAAAACCAACTACAAATGACACAGACACACCAGGGGAGAAAAAAAAAAAAAAAAAAAAAAAAACAAAAAAAAAAAAAAAAGAACCAAATTGTATTTTTCATCTTTCTCTTAGTACGTTTCACATTTTTTGTTTTTTTTGTTTTTTTTTTGTTTTTGGATATGGAAATGGTGAGCAAGGAAAAGTGGGCATTTTCTTGTTAATATGATTATAAATAAAAGTGAATGCGAGATGGCAGCTGCCATTGTATTCACAAACATATGGTGTGTAAACTTCTTTACAACAAAAAAAACTGGCAGTGATTCCTGAAGCCGAGTTTGCTACAGATATTAGCAAGTTGCAGAACTGCATATGTATTTCTGTCGTTGCTGGTTTTGGCACTGTATATGGCAAGTTCTTGCTTTCTCCCTCAGCTCTTGGAATGCTTTCATTGTTTCCGCATCAAATCCACCAGCAAACTGAAAACAAAAACTTATTTGGTATCTATTTTTGTATCCACAAAAATGTAAACAGTTTACAAAAATTTAAAATTCCACATCAAAAAGTTGATTTCATTTGTTTTTTAAACTAGTTTTCATTCCTTCATCCCTTCCCCACCTTCCCCACTTTCCCCAACTGCCATGGGCCACTGCCACCGCCACAGCAGGCCACCCATACCTCTGACCACACTTCTATTTTTAATTTTATTTTACCAAAGATAAACATAAACATGTTTAATGTTTTTTTGTAAACAAAAAGAAGTAAATTGTAAACCTTTACCAAATGAAACATTGGTATGCGAAAAGTACCTGATGAACTCGGAAGGCAAACCTTACAGCTTGCACTATCAGCTCTTCTTCACCACCACCACCACCACCTATTTCAAGTTCCGCAGATACTCTCTTCATGTACTTCATGGCTAATTTCACAGAAGCCAGCTTGATCTGCAAGGATACAAGTCCTATTAATGCACAGAAGATACATACAGCTTGAATATTAAGGATACAAGGACCTCAATAATGTCATGTACCTACAAATTAAGTTCACTTTCCGACCTAAATTAAAGCAAAAACCATATATCATCCCAGAGCAAATAAATTTGGTGGATGGTTGGATGAGAATTAAAAAGCATTAGAAATTCAAGGGACCTATAAACTATGGACCCATTAATTTTAACTGTCCAATATGCTCATGTCAATCGCTGGGAGAAAAATTCATTATCAATGCTAATTTCTCTTAAGCAAAAATATTGTTCCAGTACACCGTGGTGTTTAGTGTTCTAATCCATAGCCGATATTATACAATGATGGAATAGGTAAGAAGCTCTCTCTCTCTCTCTCTCTCTCTCTCTCTCTCTGTGTTTGTCCAGTACTCTTTTTTTATTATTATTATTATTCATTATCAATGTTGAAGTATTTTAAGGTCAACACCATTAAAAGAATGAATGGTAGAGAATCTTATTCTATTTTATAATGGTAAGAAAAAATTTATTAACAAAAAGAACGGGAAAAGGGGCAATCTTATGCTTTTCTTGACTAAAAAATCGAAAACAAACAATGACAAGCAACTACAATTTAGAGATCTGGGAACTTTCACATGTGCGCATGCAGGCGTGGGCATAGATGAGGCTAAACAACTTTCCATTCTTTTGTCATATAGTAACCAGCCACTATTTTCTTGGCATAGTATAATATGCTTAGCAGACTTCTTGTCAATAAAATTTTCATTGTCTCCTCAAGACTAACAAGTTATGAATCAATATCGGGACCACCTGAAATGTACTCTCCTAAATTCTTGAAAACTAAAATATAAACCATGATGGGTATATTTGTAATTATCCCCGATAAGGAATGAGTGAACAAGTTGACACTTGCCAATCCATGTTCCCAAAAATAAAGAGGAGTGAACAATTTCACATTGAAATTATCCTTCATAAGAAATAAGTCAGCAAATTTCACACCTGCCAATCAAATATGTAGAGGATATATGAATCAGGGCTTATATAAGAAACAACATTTGAGGAAGGAAAATAATTACCTGACTTACATATCCGGTATCAAGCATCCAATTTGTTGGAATATGAAACACATTATATCGCTTAGTAGCTGATTCTCTTACTCGTGAGAGATTGTAAATGCCATGCTCTAATCTGTATTAATCATATCAATTATAAATTAGGTAGTACATACAAAATGAACACATTTGGGATTACAATCTATAATCTCAAATTTCATCAAATATTTAAAATTAACAAGGTTTCCTACTTTTCAAACAAGGCCTGCATTTTCTTGAGAGCAGAAACACAAGGCTGCCGGGGATCATCACAAAATGATGATGACTCGGATTCAAGTTTCTTGAGATCACTATATCCAAATGCAGCTTCGCGCAAGGCATCAGCCTTCTTCTCAGGCCAAACAAAGTGTTTCAGAACTGCCCTTTCATCAACCTGAACAAGCAAATAATTAACCAAAGCCATAAACAACTATATATGCAGAATTCTAGATTAGGTGAGCTCAAAAAAATTAAAATAATTAATGGGTTTTTTTTTTTTGTGTGTGTTAATGTACCAAGTAAGAGAGCTCGTCATCAAGCCATTTAACAAATGGCACAACATCTTCAATGTGCGTGAATGCAGCGTTCTCAACTTCTTTGATCAAAAACCTAATGAAATCACCCTGTGTTTCTACATCTGTCTTAATCTGCAATTAACATGTAATCAAACAAAGAATTATCAGAAGCTAAATTTACTGTTATTTACAACCAAAGTACAAAGACTACAATTAAATTCTTGAAGAAATTACAAAAAAAATAAAAATAAATAAAATATCAGAATTTGACATACCTTTATAATTATAAAGGTGAGTTTTTAATTTTATCAATTTATTCACTAACCTTTTAATTTATTTTCAATCTAAACCAATTACCTATTTTCACTTAGCAAAACAAATATATATATATATATATATTAGACATTAAACTCAATTATGTACATAAAATATTTAATTTTTTTTTTTAATTTAATAACTAAAATATTATTTTTTAATTGATTTTATCTAACAAAAATAAACCGATGGTTTAAACTAAAAATATAATTTAAATTGAAAAAATTAAAAATTCATTTTATTATAAGGTTTTCTTTCAATCACCAACATAAAATGACCTAAAAATTATACTTGACCTTTAATTATATGAAATGTCAAAATTGCCATTTTTTTTTTGTATTTTGAACACGGTTGATGGTTGTCAAAATTGCCATGTGGGTACATCAAATTTACAACCATTTTTTTTTTCTTCGTATTATCATTTCGAATCTAGGGCTTGTCTTATGTTGCAAGGAACGTATGGTATAGGGGGACCACTGTAGAGTGGTCACTTTTCACTGACACTTGTCATATTAAAGACAGTGGCAATAACGCAAATAAATCAAAAAGGTTGACCAACTTACGGCTAGCAAGTAAGCTGACCGGTTCTCGATTTCTCCAATCATGTCGCGGGTGTTCGCCGCCGGCGCATCGGCGGCGCCACCGCCTGGTTCCCGCCGCGAGTCCCTCCGCATCAACGAGTGGTAGAACTCCACCACCTCCGGAACTCTCCTCACCTTCGCCGGAAATGCCTTCATCCCCTTCGCCGGCATCGGCGGCGGCGGCGGAGGCGGTGGTGCTGTCTTCGTCGACGGCGGCGGAGGCGGAGGAATCGATGTCGATGAAGAAGATGAAGGTCTCGGAGGAGGCTTCGGAACCCTAGGTGCTCGAGATCTGAATGTAGAAGAAGACTCGGCGATTTCATCTGAGTTAGAGCGAGAATGTCTAGGTCGATCGATTTCAACAATCTCATCTCTGTTAATCTCCACAACCTCATTGTTTTTGCTAGGGTTTTCAAAATTGACGCCATTGTCATGAGCTTTCACTCCTCTTTTCACGTTCTTAATCAGATTCGACTTCACAGACACATCAATCAGCCCCTGGAACCTCTGCGACGACGACGATAACTCTACAATCTCAGCTTCCATTGCTTTGAATCTCCTTTCGTATTCTCTCTTTTCCTCCAATGTTTTCATATGAAGAAGCTCCAAATCTTGCCTCAACCTCTCGTTCTCAACCTCCAAACACTCGATCTTCCTCGCATTCCGATCAATCTCAGCATCTTTAGAAGCGATCTCGCTTTCAAGGATTGGCAAAATGGATACGGACTCTTTGAGGAGTTTGAATTCGAGGAGTTCAGTCTTCAACAGAGACTCTCGTTCGCGTAACTCTTCGACAAGGCGGAGGAGCTCCGTCACATCCGGCGGACGAGGCTGGACCTGGGCGGAGGCGCGTGGGAAGTAGACGCCGAAGGAGCGTGAGAAGACGGCGCTCTTGTGTGGAGCCTTGGTGGAACTAGGTGGTGAAGGCAATGGTGGTGGTGGTGGTTGTTTTGGGGATGAGTTTGGTTTGGGATTTGCTGGAGATTTTTGAAGACCCATTGCTACTTTTACCTTCCCAGCAACCATTGTTGCTTGAAACCCAGATCACCTCTCCGTTTTTTTCTGTGTGTGTTTTTCTTTGTAGTTGTTTACAGTAGAGAGAGAGAGAGAGAGAGTGAGAGAGAGAGAGTGAAGGGTCGAAAGAAGTCGTTTTCGGTATATCTGTGAGAGTGGTCTGAGACAACTGATTGGATTTGGATTGGAGTGTGTATGAGGAGAGAGAGAGAGAGAGAGAATGGCCAAAGGGAGGGCTCGGGTGACGAGGAACGGTCTACACTCTCTTTGGAGATTCTCCAGTTTCAAAAAATATTGTGGCTAAATTGCACACTAGTCCCCAAGTTTGTGACTATTTCTATTTTAGATTTTTGTAATGAGAGAAATTAAACATTGAAAAAATAGTCCAACATAAATTACACTGTATCATCTTTATGTTTGACTATTTTTTCATATTTTTACAAAAAAAAAATCACTTTCGTCCTTTACTATTTAATTTTTTAAATTTACTCTGAAAATTAATTTATGTTTAAAATTAGATTGAAAAAGACATTTTTTTTAATATATAACTCATTTTCATAAAAACTCATATTCTAATATAATAATATATTTTTTATATCATATGGTAGCTAATGTGACATTTTTTTACTTATTTTTGTAGTTTTTTTCTTTAATTTCAAGCTTTAGTTATTTTTTAAATTTTTTTAAAAAATTTAGATTTCTAAATTTATCTTGATAAGACGAAAAGACAAATTTTAAATTTTCAAAAAAAATCAAAAAAGACAAACAAACAAAAAAAAACCAAAAATAGTGGATTTTTTTGGCTTTTTTTTAAAAAAAAGTTATTTCTTTTCTACTTCTTAGATTTGTCACGAACCTGAAAAATAAAATGTTGACATAATTTTGAAAAAATTTATAAAAAAAATTTCAAAAAAAGAAGTGGCTTATCTAGCTTAACCATAAACAACTTCTTTATTTTAAACAAAAGTTAATTTTATGAGAGTTTAGGATTCTTGGTATGGTTTGGAAAGTGGGTTGACTTTTTTATTTTTTGGCTTTTTTGACTATTTTAGTTTTGGGCTAAAAAGTCAGATTTTGGAAGGGTTTTTGATTTTTTTGATTTTTTTGTGAGAGAAAGAATGTAATGATTTGGGATTGGATGTGATATTTTGTATTATTGAATTAAAAAATTTATTTTGTCTTTTGTGACTGTTTTAGCCAAAAAATACCCAAACTCTCTTCTCAAACCATGCCTTATATTAGCAAGGAAGATTTCAAAATCACTCCTCCCGCAGTCTCATTATACCAAAATTAAATTTGATATTGCTACATGTAGTGATATACTGCGTACGTGTTATACAATATTTTATCATTTATTTTTAAGAGTAACCGAACATTCTGCCGATCATTCAGTATCGGACACGACTAGCTACTATCTTTTTTTTTTTAATATGAAATACAATATTTATTGAACATCCCACTAGATGACTGGTTGCTACACCATCACATATATATATAAATACAAAATATAAAAAATATTTATAGCCAATATGAAACTGCATATATATAATATAAATTCTTGGATGTTCAATTGGACAATCGTTGGGGGCACAAATTTTTTTTCTTTTTTTGGAATATGAAATTATATAAAAATAACTTCTCCTATACTACTTTGCTATAAAATTTAATTCGGAAATGAGCCGTACCTCGACACCAAGGGCTCGAATTGGCTCGAAAGAGGGAAAGGAGAAAGGGAAGGGAGGGAGAGGAAGAAGGGAGGGAGGAGATCGTCGCGCAGTACCACCGTCGTCGCCTCGCCGTCGATCGTTGCAGCTTCTGACCGTCGCCTCACCGATCGTCGCACCATCGCCACCGCTTCGCCGATCGTCACAGTCGCAGTCGCAGTCGCAGCTCCGCCTCCTCCTCCAACCGATTTTTATGGCCCCCTCCCCTCCCCTCCTTCCTCCTCCTCCTCCTCCCTTCTCTTCTTCTCTCTTCTTCTTCTTCTTCTTCGTTCTGCAACAAAAACACGGAAAAAAGAAAAAAAGAAAAAAAAAATCGACACCAAAAGTTTGGGGGGGGGAGCCAAACTCGAGCCACGGGTTTCGAGCTACGTAGCACTATCGAATTTAATTTTAAAATAAAGAATCTAATATAATGTGTATATATAAAAAATATTAATTAAAATAAAAAATAATTTTTTAATTATTATTTGATTTAAAATTTATTGGGAGTAATGTGGATGCTCTAATAGGGTGGTTGAAAGAAATTAAGGCAGTACATTGAAATGAGACATTCTTGTCAAATGTCATGAGATACATTGATTACTAAAACTCGGTTACAAAAGTAAGGTTGGGATTTTAATAAGAGAGAATTTATAATGTTTATAGAATTTATTACGTGTTTTGTTTTAATAATTATTTATTTTTGTAAGGTCTTTAATATATATTATTTATAAAAAAAATTTAAGTTAATTTGATAATTATAATTTTTTATTTTATTGCATTTGTCTTTTAAAAAATGAATAGTCTATTTCAAAAATATATTAGCCGTCTATTTTTTTAAATACAAAAGCAATAAAATTTAAAAAATTACGATTATTAGATTGATTTTATTTTTTTCATGAATAATATATCAAGTGTCTTACAAAAAAATAATTTGAATCATCGAAATAGACTTGTGATGGGCCTTATATGTCCCCATAAGTTCTCTCGTATTGAGTTCTCAACATAGGAAAAGCCTAATCCTAAAAAAATAAGATATTGGTGTGTTTGGTTTGTGTTTTGAGATAAATTTTAAAAAAAAAAATTGGGAGAGAGTTTTGAAATTTTTTTTGTTTGTTTGGTTGTATATTTGAAAAATTGTTTTGGAGTTTAAAAGTTTGGGATGATTTGGGCTCCGTTTAGGAAGAAAAAAGCCAAGCTTTTTTGGCTAAAATAGCCACAATAAACAAAATAGGCTATTTTAGTCATAAAAAACAAAACATCAAATCCAACCCATAATCATTACAATCCTCTCTCACAAAAAAAAGCCAAAAAAATCAAAAAGTCAAAAAGTCCTTCCCAAACCAGACTAAAATAGCCCAGGCTAAAATAGCCAAAAAGTCAAAAAGTCAACCCACTTCCCAAACGGAGGCTTGATATTTTATTATAGTTGAGTAAATATGTGTAAAAAAAAAAAAGTGATTAAGAATGAGAGAGGAGAGAGAAAAATGATTGATTGATGTGTAATAGAGAAAAAAGTAATTTTAGAATTTTTTTGAAAAAATTTATAACCAAACATGTTTTTGAAAATTTTCTTCCAAAAATATGTTTCAAGAATATTTGATAAATGTGTTTGATCAATTTTATTACCCCAAAATGTCTCTAATATTCCATGTTCATTAGACAATTTAACTTTTTTACTCTTTGCTAATAATCTCATCATCAAGGATGGAATCAAAATTTTATTATTACATGAGTCAAAAGATACTAATATTTTTTTTACTATAGAAACAAACACACAGATGTACAATATGATATAAATTATACATATACATATAAAAAAATTCAAATATCATAGAAATAATATTTGATAGAAAATAAAAAGAGAATGCAAGATAAAAAAGAATAAGATATATATGTTTTATAGTAAGAGGCTAGTTTATTTATGAAATAACATATATATACATTTAGAAGTGTTATGGCAAATATAATTTTTTACAAAAACAGGGAGATCATGGCCTACATAATTTTCTCTTAATTCCATCCCTCTATTTTACTATACTTATAATCCTGTCAAATCTAATCCTACAATCAACATGGCATCTTGCCAAACGTAATGGAAAAGTTTCTCCAGCACTTTATCTTTTATTTTATTAAATTTAAATTTGATGAAAAGAATAGGGTAGCATTTGGTAGAATTGTCTAAATATAATTTGATAATTGAGTTGTATTTTGAGTTTGTAAGTTTTGAAATTATGATTTGAGTATGAAAATTTTGTTTGGTTATGAGTTTTTGAAAGTTTTGAATTGAATTTGAAATAAATGATGTGACACATGATATTTAATTTAAAAACTTATAACTCATAACCAAACATAAAATCTAAAATCCTATTCAAAGCTCATAAAAAATTTTAAAAAAAATTCTGGAAAAGTTTTTTATTTAAAATATAAAAATAACAGGTGCCAAAGAAAAAAAAAAAAAAAAACAAACAAACATTGTTCCGGTTAGCCAATTTTTCAAGCCTAGAAAAGAGTTTTTAAAAGTGGGTGTGGAATTATAATTTAAAAACTCAAATACCACACCGAAAACACAGCCAAGATTTTTGGTACTCCAACGTTTACATCAAACTAGTATCAAATCTAAAATATTTTAAACTTTTCATCAAATTAAGTATGGTTGGTGCCTTTCATCAATTTACTGTAGATAGTCGTTAGTTGTACATGTATGCATAGCACCAGACAACCGACCGAATGTTTGGCCGGCTGTCTCCTCAGTCGACCATCTCCTTGTGAAATTTGTTTTAGAATTTTGAAAAATTTACACTAGTCAGTCGATCGACCGAACATTCCCCGATTATCCTCCTAGTCGACCAGTGATTTGATAAAATCACAGATTGTTCCATTAGAACACACGATATCAAATAAAATTTTTATTTGAATTTGATAAAAAAAAAAAGAAATAGAATAAACGTTGGAAATACTCTAATGATCAAACATCTGGTGAAAGTAATCCATCCTATTTTGTTTTCCTTTTAATTTTTATGTTAATATAATTTTATTTATTTATTTTTTGAAGAAATATAATTTGAACTCTGACATCTACTTTATTAACACTAAAATTGTCACTTTCCCAATCTTGAATATGGTTAAATTATGCCACACATGGGCACATTTTTTTGCATATGCAAAAATTGAATTTGAATGCAAAAAAATGTTGAAGAAGAAAAATAAAAATAAAAATTGAGAACCCAAATAGAGTGATAAACCCAAAATTCATGTCCATGGTGCATGAGTATGAATCATCATCAGAAATGAAACTAAAATTTTATTATCGGATGGGTTAATTTTTTTTCACTATATACACAAATAAATACATATATATATATATAAAATATGATATATAAATTGTATATATACATAGAAAAAAATTATATACCATAGAAACAGCTCTAATAGAATGAAGAAATTTTTTAGTGCAAAATAAAAAGAGAATGTAAGATAAAAAAAAAAATGAGATATATTTTTTTTATACTGAGTCAGTCTCATGTTCTTATATTAGG